AAATACCTTGATTCACTTTAGTGTTAATGATACAATAATTTATCTTGAAAGGTGTTCTAACACTTGATTGAATTTGCATGTAGCGGACTTCAATATTAAGCCGTCATGAACACATGCTCGTGTTACAGTCTGAATCATACAATGGAGGTTTCTTATGATCAATGAAAATCTTTCTTCGCGTTTATTTATCAGATACCATTTGATAACAGAATGCAGTACCTTTATAGCTATATATTTTAATGCTACAATTTATTACCTGGAAGGATATGCATTATATTACTTGAATTAATTACCTTCAAAGATATGAGTTTTAATACTAGCATTAGTTACCTTGATATATATGCCTTTTAGTGATAGGATGATAGAATCAAATACCTTTGTAGATATGCTGTTTAACGCTAACGTGCTTAACCTTATTCACTGTTGATTTAATACTAGAATCAGTTGAGTTGTTAGATATGCCCTTACAAATACAAATCACATTTCAAAGACCTAATAGCTATATATATATATATATATATATATATATATTATATGATATAAAAATAAACACGAATTAACCTCGCATAGTTTTAATACTAAGAATAGGATTTAAAAAAATATATATATATATATATATATATATATATTCATTATATTAGAGAAGTCGTTGCATTCCATTGCATTGAACATATTGTCCAGCGCAGCTATGCTATGCATATTCATCATACACAGAACGAATGCTCAACGTTAACTCTGCTCTTGGCATACAATGATGGTGTACGAGTGCACTAACTATTGTGTTATGTCCGCCTGTTGTAGCCAATGGCTCTGGTTGTATGTTGTGAGTGGCGATAAACATGACAACCTATCGCTCAATGCTATGTAAATTTCATGTGACATTTTACTTTCCATATTTTAATCTCTTTTCGCGGCCCTTAGTCGGGCGCTATCACTTAGTTAATGATATTCAAATACAAGTGATATTAATAATTCACTTCTTTAGACTGATAAGAATTCCTATAAATTGAGAATATTATTGTTAACACGGGAAGCTAGAGTCAGCCCTTCAGCTGGATTGCAGTAGACTGCCCTATCACATGTTTTTAATTGTAGCTTCAGTTCGTTTTTTTCAGAGTTTCTACTTTATCAAGTGACAGTATTTGAATAATGGGAAACATTAAATTTCAAGTCGACACCCGCAATTTTAAAGATATATGCGTTTTTGCGTCGATTAGAGCTAGTTACCAGCTGCTGTCATGGATAAAACTGCGTTAATTCTACTGAGACAATCTAAAGCTTTTCAAATGACAGCTTATGACATTCTGGTTTATTTGCGATAAATTCCAAGTGGAACTATAACTTGAGTTATTTCGAAAGTTTCCAAGAAACAAACCGCACTGCTGAAGCTTGCTAAGGGTTTGGCCAACTATTCTAAATCAGAATCACGATAATGGTCTTGCAATTGGTCATCTCATTAAAAGTATATTTTTTAATGAAAATAATTTTACCGAAATAATTGTCATATATACACATTGTATTTTGTAAGTGTATTTGAGACGTAAATTGCCACTTCTCATCAAAAACGTTAAATATTGTTTGTAGATATGTATTTTGTCAGGGATCTGTAGACCACATCATCTCTTTAATTTTACAAATGATGTCATTTTCATGGAACTTACCCTGTAAATATATATTTTTTAACTCTGTTGAATGTTTTGAAAAAATGGTTATCGACATCGAAAAGTAAGTTTAAGACTTTTTCACAGTCCTAAAATGATAAGGAAAACGACTTTAAAAAGACTATATTGAACTAACACTATTCCTCACTGCATTGGAGTAAAATAAATATATATCTACTGAATAAAACGTATCTATAATAACAAGACATTGCTTCTAAAACCCGAGTCAATTGTATGATTCCGGCAGTATCATGATCATGTGTCCATGACTCACTATCAAATAGTGATGATACTAGGTGAGAACGTACCCTGTCCCATCGTTGGCCCCTAGGAAACACACGCAAAGGCATGTCAACTATACACCTGAAAAACCCCAGGGGAACATGTAGTACAAGTAAACTGTTGAATTGCACTAGAAATCGAATTCACAACTCTAACTCATTCAAGACGAAAAAACAACAACAAGTTACAGTCGAATAACGCCTCTAGGAGGTAAATGTTACACAGTGTAACGAAATGGAAAGAATTTTTTAAATGTGTCAAACGTGATTATGTAACTTATAATGAATAACAAATCCAACGGCAGATACATTGGCTCAGAGTAAATTATATTTGACGTCGAAATCAGCCTTATTTCAACTCGGCGGCCGGTCAAGTCTGGATCAGGAAAACCAGAGATGAACGCAAGTAAACCAATCCACAGATTCAATATTAAAAAGGTACATTATCAAGTCCCAGAATCTGACCACGTACTCTAACTGTCGTCGACTCATACGTAGGTACAAAGAAACCATTCCATCCGGCAATCCCTAAGAAGGTATATCGATACCATAGTTTTCAAATACTCCTTTGTTAAGGCGAAAATACGTAACATTTTAGTAAATATAACACTGGGTACTACTGTTTATAAATGCTATTACAATACTAACAAATCCATCATAATGCGCCTTGCCACTCAAATGAGTACCCATTACTCTACATTATTATTACTCTGGTCAACGAATCAGCGTGCAGTTGATATTCATTCTCAACACCTTGGGGAGTATACAAGCTGCCATTATGAAGAATACATCGTATTTTTCTTAAATTTCATGCAGAATAGTATAAAGTATAGCTATCATCAGTTACAACAGACCTTGTAAAATATGTTTCATTGTTTATGAAATATTCTTTTCTGCAAAAAATATTTTTTCATAAGCATATACAAAGAAATTCATGTACATGTGATGCGATGCAAACTGTAGCATAAAAGAACGAAACTGTGTCTGACCAACTAATTACAAAGAGTGTAATGCTATCATTAGGATTACTATGCAGAAAACAGTAACAGAAACATTGCAAAGTTCAGGTACAAAACACAACGTTGATATCCGTATCAAATACATCACCTTCGGAAAGACCATTTTCCGTTGTATCAGGTTTAACCTCCATCAGACACAGAAGGATGCTTTGTTTGCCCGATTCTCCCAATACACCTCTAGCAGTAGTCTTCTGTAGTGGTGAAACATACACGTCACGCGACATATTCCAGCATTTCCACAGTTTTCTAATCACCTCCACACGTAAATGTTTATTTGTTTTGAAGTGGTCTACTCGGCAATACCGACACGTCCCTACTGCACCCACTACCTTGTTCAATGTAGTCGTATATATACCGTCAACACAAGGATCTCTGTAATATTTCGATAAAATCACTCAAAGTAAACAGGAGAATGGGTATCAATGGTTCAATAAACTTTAAATGTCGGAGAGTTAATATACAATCCGTAAATGCATGACATGCTTAGAGCTTCCACAAACACTGTCGTGTTATTTATCCCTTTAGCCGCCCGAGCGATCAGTCTGCCGAGTTGGTCGTGATCAGCCTTCACAATTCTCGTTCAAATACTATGTGAAGGAGTGGATGTTTGTGTCAAACTATGACACTATTAACATGAATATTTTTTCACCTTTCATTCTATACCTAAACTAACAAAATGAAATGTAAAACCTAGCCGTTTTCCCAGAAAATTTGAAAAGGAATGTTAATTCGACGTGAAAGGTGTGAGGTATTTTTTTATACAGACATAAACTAATTTTTGTGTTTTAGAAAATATCATTGTTAACTATAAATGATTATTAAAATTATTATCATTATATGCAATCATGTCAGATGGTCAAACAGCAACGTGAAGTCAGAAGGCATATATTGTGAAAAATATAGATTATACGCATCAACGATAATAGCTGTTGGATTATTGTTCTCTCGATAAGTGTAGGAAAATATAAGCGACAAAACCCTCCTTACATTAATTGCTTTGCCAACATTCCCACAACACCATGAGCATGTGTTAATGGATCACTGTGACATAGTGATGACACCAGGTGTTCGGGGAAAAGCGAGCACACCTCCGCCCAAAACTTTACGATCAAAGGTATCGGGCGATTGAATTAAAGTTTAACAAGAAAATGACACTACAGAAATGACTTGGTTTCCTGAAACCAACTTATTTTTGTAGTGTGATTACCTATGTTACTACCTACAAAACAAATTCTCATACACGTGCACACCAAAGCACCTGAAACTTGACGTGCACTCTGTTTACTAATATACAAACATTTGATGCTTTTATAATACGATAGCTTCTGTTATCCCAGAAAATGACTTAAGAATAATGTAAAGTTATTCCACATTTAAATTTTCTTTAGCAGGGGAATGCTATGGTTTAGATGGCTACACACCGACTTCACTTCTGCTTGAACTATTAGGAATTAATTACAAGTTCTTCACAAAGTTACAAATGTAACCTGTCATCTCACATGCATCGAGGAAAGTAACTAGTCAGGGAAAGTCATCAAAACTGCGAAATATTCTCAGCAACTGTTTGCCACAATAACGGCCTTGTTTCATGTGATCTTTGAGCGCATACAAGCAGACAGGGCCTTTTTCTTTTTAGGCCAATTACTGCACATCCTTCCGCCTATTCATGCGCGTTCATTATCCCAATCTTAGCCGGACTCAACACAAATCGAACGACCGAAAATAATTGCTTGGGTGCATGTTGGGTGAGCTATGAACTGTACGCAATCAAGACCCTGGCATTCACGTCCCCCATAAACAGTTGATTAGGAAACCCTCCGCCCAATCCCCGTTAAAGGCCTCTTAAATTACAGACGTATCTAAGCTGCCCGGTGTCCCTTGATCAAGCGTACAAGTAACTGGCAGAATGTCACCGGCAGTTTTAACCAATGAGAGAGTGGTAATTACGATCGATGCGGGCTTAATCACGCCCCCTACCGGAGCTGCGGGAAGTCTTTTGTAATCATAATATTCCCTTGGTTGACTGGATCTGTCAATGAGCCAGCCAGTCGCTGGCATAAACAAAATAAGACTGGCGCTTGCCATATGCTTGTGCCTTGCTGGTGCATTATTAATTATGTGGCGATGGTTATAAGGATAACTTGCAGTACGGTTGTTTCTTCTTGAATTAAAGCAGTCACCTCCAGACGTGTCACAATAGCGGCGGTAGGCAGACTAAGGTGTGAGCTCGAGCGAGGGACAATCTGCTAACAACTTACCTGTATTTCGGGATCACAAATCTGTGAGGTTTCCTCCTAGAACATTGGGGAATGTGCGAGTACTGCTAACTTTCTACATTTTCTGACATTTATATTTGAAGGATGAGTGAGCCGGCAGAATTCTCGGAAGAAAACAGTGAGTAGATGTGTATTTTATTTCGTCATTATTCTCCAGATGTATGAACCTATTAGTTAATCACAATTGTGTTTTGTACACGAATTCTAATCCCATGTGAAAGCTGTTCAACCTTAAGTTACCTAATCGCACGACTTTAAGTAATTAATTTACACAACATAATGTAATTCAATTTTTTTCGAAAACTCTCCGAAGTTGCAGGTGTTTAGCAAGCTGCAATGTCGTCGCTTTAATCAATTAACAATTAAAACCTAATGATTTCAGGCTTTTGAAGAGTTAGGTTAATTATGGCACATACTGAATGTCATCGATGGATTATTCAAGAACGCCATCAACCAGTTACAAATTGTTTAAAAATGTATTTGACGAATCATTTCAGAGATATATTGCCTGCTATATATACTGAATTACGAAGCTTCTAAATATATCTTTGATAAAACGTAATACACGATTTTACATATATTGTAATACAAAACACAATTACATGTCAAACAGTTTAATACTTTTTCGTTTTTTATTAAACAAGTGCGCAAATATAGCTGGACATATATAAACCCCTGCTTCTGTAACAAATATGACTAATAGAAAGTTTGAAAACTACATACTGAGTATTCGTCTGTCAGTCGACTGAGAAGGTGGAATAACATACCAAACATTTTTATTGTGCTAATGATTATTGTCATTCCAATACAAAGACGAATATATATTTGGGGTGGACAACAAGAATGAGCTTTGCTTTTCATGTTTCTTGGAAACCTTCTCAGATACACACCTATCCGCATGCCTCATTGATCTCAAAATGTGTGCTCTAGTTGCTCAACACTTATTGTAATAAATACTTTAAAACGTCATGCTGGAGTCCCACCACTCACGTTGACATGTAAACAGTTTAATTAATCAATTGCTGATTTCAAACTGATTATCACACTGATGTTTTCATCTGATTACTTCATTATATTCCATCACTTTTGTGTGTTGCACGTGATCTGGTTAACATTAATTGCACAAATATAATTTTATTTCCATGTTATGATTTTCTGTGTAGTTAAATCAGTTAAGCGCTATCTCCGCGCGTTTTTATTAAAATAACCGAATAAGACATATCAATTAACCGCGTATTAAAATCTAGCTTAGTGAAATTTGAAATATAACAATTCAAATATAGCAACTGTCTTTATTTAATTGGACATTAATCATATGTGATTCGTTAGTAATATACATGTACACGTATTATTTCATTGCTGAATATACATATGTAGATGACAAAACATTCTATTTACGGTTATAATAAATATCAGACCTCTATTTTGTACCTGACTTTTAGAGTATTTTACATTTTGAGAGATAAAAAACTGTTATACTTTCAAACAGCTGTGATCTGCTCGGATTTGTGTGCATTAAATGGGTGAGGTGGTATGTGGACTCACGGCGTGTACTTTGCTGTTACTGATGCTACTGATGTTAGTATTGGTGGGTGCAGAGGGGAGAATAAGTCAGAACTTACCATTATAACTTTTAAACTGGCCATTGAATGTGTATCAATTGCAGCATTGTGAAACTTCGGTAAATTCTTCAGCATCGTTACTTGCAAGTGATGAACTTACATTGAGTATATATAGAACACTTGTGTTGCAACATCAACGGTTGTATGCTAAACCTCAGCATCAATGCAAGTTTCAGACATCCATTAACTATTTGTATTGTCATCACAGTTTCTGATGTAACATAAAATGAATATCACTCGAGGTAGTTTTATGAGAATATTGATTGCCAAGAACATGTGGGTTAAAGTCTGCAGAAATTCTGCCAGCATGGATGATTAGACACTCTGAGAAAATGTTGTTTTCAAAGCGTCAAATGCAACTTACCTTGACTGCCAAGTACTAACACACCCCTGGCACTCCCTGTCTACATCTACCTATGTCTATACATACTCGCAATGGAACAAAGCCTCTGATATATACACAGTACCTACTTATATGATACTTCTAGTAGTCAAGGCGTGGCTATTAAAATGCTCATCTACAAAACGACAGAACTGGAAAAATTAATCTCCATTAAAAATAAGTGTTACGACTTGTATTTCGTTTCCATATTCTTTTCATAATCCTTTTCCTTTTTTAAAAAATATTCACATTTAAGAAGAATCCCGTTATCTTTCCTGTTTTCATGAACGTGTAATACATGCCTGAAATATTTGTCAAATACTTTAAAAACAAACAAACAACACCTTGTGCTGCAGAATGGTCAACTGTTTTCACCTGCTAAGCCAGATTGTGCTAATGTATAGTTAGACAGATGTTAACGCAGTTCTGTACTAGTGTACAGTAACATCATAACACCGTAAACATCTTTTCTAAACATCATTCCACTATTACACATCCAAATCTGTGCACGCGACTGCTGACAATGCGGCGAATGTTGTCGTTGAGGGAGTATTGTATGTACTTGTCGAGGCAGCAAAACATGCACAACAACGCCCATTTTCCTATAGCATGGAATCGCGGGAAAGTCCAGTAATCGCAGTTTGAGAGTCTGGGGGAGACGAGAGAAGACAACGACGTTGACAATGGCACTAGCGTCATGGGAATACAAAGCTAGGGGAGTTATCACCCATCTAATTTCCATTGCGACTGTTTGGTCTTGCCTGGCAGAGCGGGTGACGGTAATCCTGTATTGGGGGCCGTCTCTGACGAAGCCGGTGCCATATGCTAACTGTGTTGGAAACAAGCCGTAATTAAACGCTAAGTGAGGACGCGGTGGTTAATCACATCTGAAAACACAGAATCGACCCGTCTCCACAAAGGACCCATCTCTCAGGACCTGGCTACCATATGTCGACAGATTTACAGAAATTTGACCTTCTGTAATTATTTTCATCATTGTCACCAATCTGAAAAAAATATGGATTGTCTCAACATTTCACATCCCATGGTTCTTTTGTTCTAAATAAAGTATTTGGATCGCCTGCGTTCTGATCGACCGGCTGGCGTCTTAATTACCATGGCTGCACTTTAAGGGTTAACGGTGTTTGGTCTATTTGTAACGGTTGTATAGACTGTTACGGTAAACATAAATGGATTAGAGAAACACACAGATGTGCCGACACGGTACAAACACCCCCATCTCATAGTTCTCAGTAAATTGTGCTTGTTAATTATTAATCTAAGAGAGCTGAATGAACACAACAAACCCAACTGAACATTGTCTGCCTGTCACAATGCATGGCAAACGTACCGTTTTTCGTCTCAGCGCATTAAAGAATTATGCAAGTTGATCTTTTCCGCTTCAATCTCCAACAGTAAATCGTTTATAGTTATATTGTTGTTTCTTTTTGGCATGGAATTGCAGAAATATGCATATAGGTTACCATATAACGAATCATTCATTAATTCAACGAAAAACCCCAGAGAATCCACATAATTCATATAATAGTTAATTTGTTGATACAATATAATAAGGTTACGACTGACATGTTAACATCTGTCAGCTTCTCTAATCTAAATGTAATTTAGTTAATTTAGATGTAGGTATATGCCTTGTCCAACGGACACAGCCGAAATTATGGTGTATATTGTCAATGTTCTCAACATCTTTTTTTTCCGAGCGATGCTATGAATCCTCCTTGTGTGCTTCCAGATACTGATACAAAATGGTCACAGTTGCTTTTGTATGTAAATGTTTAATTAGCACCAGGTAACTTCGCCTGCGGTTGTCAATCAATATTTCATATTCGTATTTTCACAATAGTTGCCAGTGTGGTACGGAGTCACGTGACAGGGTGGTGAATACAGGTAATGGTCACTCTGCGTGTCACCTGGCCACAATGTTATATAAAGACTGGACACCTGAGCTGACACACAGATATAACGAAACGAAATATAAAAAAGAACTACTTTAAAAACTAATTTTAAATCAAACAAATGTTAATAGAATTTAGACGTCAAAACCAAAAAATGGAAATAAAAGATGCGTCTGTAACCCTAGTAAAGTATGTTGGTGATGTGAAGTGTATAGGTGGATATTGAGAGCTGAGGCATGAAAATGAATTTTCATTCCTCTTTAAATTTCTAAGAGGAATAAAATTATAGTTTTTATTTATTACATATGTTTTACATGTTTCATAAGTTACCTGGTGTTTGTGAGAGTAAATACAGCGATATTACCGACGTGCCAACTTGGCCTTTGTCTATTCGCTTTAACGTACTCACAGAAGACTGCTGATCTAGTTCCGTTATGTAGGTGGAAGCACGGAAATAACATACATTTCTAAATCTGACCACTGTAGCGTATAATTACATATAAGGTCCAGTTTACCTTACTTATGAACCAGTCCGTCATCTCCAAATATCAACACGACACAATGATTTACTTAATCCTTTATCTTGAATCTTTGTATTTTAGATATGAAACTAAATGAATCATATTTCCTAATCTTTTTGTAATTATACCCTCGTTTTCCCCTTCTACATTGACTATCATTCAATATTGTCCCAATTTACCGTTAATAAACTTTGAAATTCTGTCAAACATGAAACTGAACTTCCCTGGTATTAATAATTATATTTTACTTTTACAAAAATAATGGATCACTATCGTGAGGACAGGATAAAAGCAATAGACAATGACTGAATATAACATAATTTCATCAAATACGTGTATAGTGTCCTTGATCAGAAAATAGGACAGTAATACTTAATTTCAAAACAGGCATATTAAGAATAAGATATTTCAAGTCTATATCCGAAAATATATTTGTTCTTTACCGATAAACGCCATCACAAATGGCACTGACTGTCTGTAATTATAGATTCAAAATATTGAATTGTTCATATTTATAGGATAACCATGATATAGTGTAACATGTAAGATTTCTTAGATTCAGTATCAATATTTGATGACAAAGTACAAATTCTAGCATTATGGTGAGACTTTGTAATTAGCTCCAGTTTTTAACCGGCCTGGTAGTTTCATTGGTGAAAAAAGTAATTTCTATTAGAGCATTATGTGAGTGAGATGAGACGAGCGACATTATTGGCCTTGCGGCGTTGTACCCCCTGCCAGAATTGTGTTCGGAATGTAATCGTCAAATAGCCAGCATTTATTCCTCTGGGCAAGTTTCAATAGCAGTCAAAGTTTGGAATAACAATTTATACGGCGGAGGAAATAGCTTCTTTCTCGGATATGCTATAGACATAAAGAGTTTTAAATGGTACATTAAATATCTTTAAGAGATGTTGTAAAAGGACATAAGTTTCTGTAATATGGTCGTATTTGGGATCTTTGTATAGAAGTAATTCGGAAATCTGTGACAAAATATTATCAATGAAGAATTAAATAATCAAGTTATTTTCTTTCCTTTTCCTAAATACCGAACACAAAGTTAGGTTGAATAAATACGGCCGCAGATCTGAAATGGCATTTTGAATCCCTCTTTAGTAAAACACGTAAATGTTTTTTTGTTGTCAAAGAGTTGGTTTGTTCCACACAAGTGAAGCCAATTTATTATATAGCATGCTCGCAAATATTGAACCTAACGGGACCGAAGGAGAGAGGCGAGTGGTGGGTAAGTGGTTAAAGCGTTGGCTCTTCACACCAAAGGCCAGGGTTCGACTCCCCTCATTGGTGGAATGCGTGATGCCCATCTGTGGAACACTCTGACGTCACATTGCTGGAACAGTGCCTCACTTACACACCCACTTCCTCACGAGAGTCATACATTTGTACAATGTTCGGTCGAACAAGCAGATTGTCCTAAAGAGTTCTTCCAATGATTTATGTGGATACCTAACATGCGTGTGATACCTCTTTATAACAATCAACTATATCTTCACGCTCAAGCCATTGGTAATATGAAAGCATGCATAACTATTGAAAATATACAGTTGATATGAACTTTATCCCGGACAAGTCACAAGATATTTTCCTAACATTCGTGGGATAGATACTAATCCTTACATACACACGATATGAGCTTTAACTTACATTCCAGTGAAATGAAATTGTCCTTACAAAGGGGAATATACCCTTTACCTTACACACAGTGACATGAGCTATTCCTAACATTCAGATGAGACTATACTTAACATGTGTTGGTTGGTTGGTTGTTTAACGCCGCACTCAGCAATATTCCAGCTATATGGCGGCGGTCGGTAAAGAATTGAGTCTAGACCAGACAATCTAGTGATCAACATGCAGGTGATATAACCAACGTGTGACTTCCACTGTACATATTTTGTAATATTTCTACATAAAAGTGTGATAGTTAGAACGGGGATTTTGCACCGGTTCGTTATATTCGTTTACTCATTCCAAGATAGATATAATATTTCACAAAAAAAGTAATTAATATTTGATCATGAAATACGTATTTTAATACCTTTGTGTTTTGTCTGATTAAATGTACTCAAACGATCAAATGAACAATGGGAAATAACTAACATCCTTTAGACGCTAAAATAATTAAACCTCTTTATTCAAATTAATACTGTGCCGAACGTCTTTCTGATATTACGTCTGTTGATTAAGGTGTATAGGTTTGAGTTTATCATTTGCATTGTGTTTGTACCCTATTCCTATTTTCATCCTCACAGGGGAAAGAACTAAATACTATTACTGTTGCTGTTTCTTCTGCTACTACCAAAATAAATCATAATAATAATAATAATAATAATAAAATAATAATAGCACCACTATAAGTAATACACCAGGTTTCCATTCATCAAATGAATGATTATAGAGTTGCATTATTCTTAACTCAGTGTTTTTCAGAACTGTGCTGCATACAAACTAAATTTGAGGAGCTAGGACGTTGCACATTGCTGTCCCCCTTTACCGGGGGTGGCCCCGTTCTCTGCTGAGTGAACATGGACATATTTAAAACTATAACTATCTCTTGTCAAAGATAACCAAACATGGTAGTGTGAGTACAATTTGTTGGGGTGCATTGCATGTGCTAATATTCCAGACTGTTTCCTATTTGTAACACTGGTCTCTTCTACATATCGAGGATACCCAATGCATTAATGTTCAGTCATATATGTAACCCTCCCTACTCTCGTCCGCAGATGTCAGTGCTGGGTCGCCCACAAGTAAGTCGGAAGACACCCCCAGACCGCTGAGCGCTGATAATGAGACAGGTCCCCTGTCCCCAGCTTCGAGTTGCTCCACTCCTCCGGCCTCCGTCACAGTCTCCACCAGCAAAGCCCCCGTGAACACCAGCCTCAACTACCCCCGCCAGAACCATGTTACCAATGTCATGCTGGTAGGCATCCCAATAGTCTCCCTGTTCATTGATGGCAAAGAGCGTCTCTGTCTTGCCCAGATTTCCAACACCCACCTCAAGAGTTATTCGTACAATGAGATTCACAACCGCCGTGTCGCCTTGGGCATTACCTGTGTACAATGCACACCGGTTCAGCTGGAGATCCTCCGGCGAGCCGGGGCCATGCCCGTATCATCTCGTCGTTGTGGCATGATCACCAAGAGGGAGGCTGAAAGACTTGTCAAGTCCTTCCTGGAGGACAACACCCCACCCAAGCTGCCGGAAGACTTCAGCTTTGATGTACAACATGATTGTGGTTGGGGATGCCGCGGCTTCTTCGAGCCGTCCCGTTATAATAGCTCCCGTGCAAAGTGCATCAAATGTAGATTTTGTAATATATATTTCTCCCCAAATAAATTCATATTTCATTTCCATCGGGCTCCTGACGCCAAGTACAATCACCCGGATGCAGCAAACTTCAACTCCTGGCGGCGTCACTTGAAGCTGACGGAGGGGGCTGCTGACGATATAACGTTTCTGTGGGAAGACGTCAAGGCCATGTTCAATGGTGGCAGTCGCAAACGTGTTCTCTCATCGTCAATAGCGAGTACGTCCTCCTCTAACTCTGTAACCAAAAAGGCAAAAATGCCGACAGACACTACCTACATGTCGGCCAAACCGTTCACTAACCAGTATCAAACATTCGGCATGTTTTCTCCACATAGTAAACAATACCAATATGGCCCTGTGAACAATTCCTTTGGGTATACCCAACCACCACATAACAAAGAACCTGGAGATCCCCACAAATCAGTCATGTCGCCATCCCCTTGGGCGGCACAAAGCAATGTTGGTTTTCCCTCTTATGATATGTTTTGGGCAAATACCCTTGCTCTGTCACGTTCAGGGGCCATACGGAATGGTTACTACTCTAACATGTCTAAACACATGTTAACAGACTCTTTTGCACGCGCAACTGGACAATCGGATAAGAAACTTTCCAAAGAAGATGACATAAATGACAACAAGGCCCACACTGATCGACTCTCAGCCTTTCGACCCGTTGGTCGTACTGCGCATGTGCAGTCAGGTGACCAATCAGGATCCGAGCGGGCGGAGAGCTGTGCGAGTCCCGATGATGAAGAGAATGAAGAGATTGACGTCACCTATGATACCGACGATGATGAACGTTTGAGTGGATCGGACGATGACGTCACAAAGACAGATTGTGACATCTCCAAGGATACATGTGATGACGTGGCAACTGGGGAAAATCAGGAAATCACAGAGGACAAAGCACAGGAGGGCGATCCCCAAGAGGTATAACATCTACCAATCTCTATGTATAACAGCCAAACATAATCGAAACATTAATGAACAAAATCAGAGTGTCTATATATCGGCAGTGGGCGTATTTCATGCCACTAGCGTACACTAGTACTATAAATAACCAGTAATCATTTAAGTAGGTTTGTTTTGCACATTTTCGTTTTTAAATGTATAAGTGAAAAGAACACCTATCTTTTTTTAGATGTGTTGTTAGTAAAAAAAACATGTTTATGTTTGGCCTTACATGATTTTTGTTTCCACATTTAAGTTTCTTTCAATCTGAGATCGTGTGTAATGGGTGTTTACTGACTGTCCTGTACAGCTCCCATCGGGGCTGTCATTGTGGGACCCCCCATATCACACCAATCTAATTAGCATCACAAGCTATCTACCAGCTGCTGATGGACAAAATGACAAATCGATTCAGGCTGTTAATTTCACTGCGCTAGTTTCATCAATGATGAAGTGCTGCACGATCCTTGGTCACAACGGGTTAACGGTTTCATTTGATGGAGAGTGTTACCAACCCCGGTGATTTCTCGGGTGTTATTGCTGCACGTACATTTAATGCACGGACTATCATGTCGCCATCCATCCATCCATCCTTCCAGCACTCCATCCATTCATCTGTCCGCCAGTTCATTTAAACCATCCATACATCCGTCCGTCCATCCATTTACCTACTTCTGTTTCTAGTGTTCCACCAATTCCTATATCAGAGACAACGCTGTATGTAACAAGAATATGATCGGCCCTGTCGTCGATGTCTGAGGTGTCAGACAATTTCTCCTAATCCTGACTCAATGTATTAATCGCACACGTAACGCACTGCTCACGCTGCTGTTATAGTAGATCCCATAATTATTTAAAGATAAAGTAAATAAACGCTGATTAGATTCAGTCAATGGTTTTGTGATACCGGAGTGGGTCAGATCTGGCAGCTCTTTGAAAGATGCAGCAAATGCTCCCTCGTGTACAGAGTTTTCTTGTGGCATTGTGCCGAGAAGTGTTTAATCATGTGCTAGTCTTAAAACCTTAATATCCTTACATTTTATCAACTCTTGCATTATGCCCTCTTCAGTACTAGACATACACTCTCACATCTAATAAAAAAGCCGTTGACATACAGTGATGGATGCTTGGAGGGTCATGCGTGCAGTTTTTAGTTGTTAACACGATAAAACGGTTGTTGTTGATCTTGTACAGAATATTGATCTTTAACAGATGACGGGACGTATAAAAAAGGTCTTCTTTAAATATCTGTTGAATCACGAAGTGTTAACATCACGGCAGGACATGTGACCCGTGACTGAGTTTAGTCCTCACTGACACTGCGAGTATTTTTGACATTGGTTTGACGGGTTTTTTAAATAGCCTCTGACACGACGAGGCTTTTGATCCTTCATCAATATTCTGTGCCATGTTTCAGGTGCGGAAAGAAGAAACAAACAACAATAAAGGTACGTTACAGCCTTCACAAGTTTAACTGGTTCACGTCTTCGAGGAAGTAGTCTCAGTAAGCTGTTTTGCTGCCCACATATACTGACTTCAAGGGCATATGATTAACATTTGCTGGAGGTAGACATTCCGCTATGAAGAATTCATGTGTGGTATTCCAACTATACATGAACGTAGACATAAGCACGTTCATAGAATGATGAGAATTATGTTTAAGTAATGAACATGCGGATCGTTATAACAGTCGTATATATATATGGTATGCTTTAAGTGTGCCGGATGAGTGAATAAACATGAGATTGTCTCAGTCAGAAATGTCAGTAGGACGTCATGAAATATTTCGCACTTATCTTGATACATATGGCACGGTAGAGATGGACCACATGTAGAAACTGCCCAAACGCGAGTGTATCGACAGCAGGGGCTCATTGTCATAGTAGTGCATGTTGCTTGCAGGAGAAGTGCAGGCCCTCGAAGACGTTGCCGAGAGGACAATGGCTGACTCAGGTATGTCAGGTGAGTGGAGAGATGACACCAGAGAGTTAGGGTGGGGAATTGTGTAAGAATGTGACACCAGCGAATGGCTAGTTTGATGAATTGTGTTAGAATTTGACACCAGCGAATGGCTAGTTTGAGTTAGAATGTGACACCAGCGAATGGCTAGTTTGTGTTAGAATGTGACACCAGAGAATGGCTAGTTTGTGTTAGAATGTGACACCAGAGAATGGCTTGTTTGTGTTAGAATGTGGCACCAGCGAATGGCTAGTTTGTGTTAGAATGTGACACCAGCGAACGGCTAGTTTGTGTTAGAATGTGACACCAGCGAACGGCTAGTTTGTGTTAGAATGTGACACCAGCGAATGGCTAGTTTGTGTTAGAATGTGACACCAGAATGGCTAGTTTGTGTTAGAATGTGACACCAGCGAATGGCTAGTTTGTGTTAGAATGTGACACCAGCGAATGGCTAGTTTGTGTTAGAATGCTAGTTTGTGTTAGAATGTGACACCAGCGAATGGCTAGTTTGTGTTAGAATGTGAGACCAACGAATGGCCACCAGAGAATGGCTAGTTTGTGTTAGAATGTGACAACGGCAGAAGACACTAGCGAATGGCTAGTTTGTGTTAGAATGTGACACCAGCAAATGGCTAGTTTGTGTTAGAATGTGACACCAGCGAACGGCTAGTTTGTGTTAGAATGTGACACCAGCGAATGTTAATTTTGTGTTAGTATATGACTAAAAACAATGACAAATTTATGTTATGACGCCAGAATATGGCATTTGAGACGTTTGTGATGTGTTGGGTGAGATGCCAGACTGCGGGAAGATGGTGGGTTGTGTTAGAATGTCAGTGATGTGACTCCAGATGGCGGGAATATGGCGGTTTGGCAGTTTGCGAGAGAATGTAATGAGGCACCAGTGAATGGAAGATGTGTTTTGATATAATGTGATGGGTGTGAAGACGGATGTGACGTTTGGGGTGAGAGAAACAATTGGTTTTGTACGAATATGACGGGCGTGTCGTGAGAGAAAGGGATAAGGCAAATTGCGTTAGAATGTGATGGCTGTGGTGCCAGAGAGTGGGATGAGATGATTTTTTGTAAGAATATGATGGACGTGACTCTAGATGGGGGTGTATTGTTAGAATGTCGCGCAGGTGAGGCTGCTGAATCGCACGAGGGCACTTTTGTAAGAATGTCGTAGAGCTAACACACGAGGGTTTGGACAGGGGACTTTGTGATGTATTGGCATGGGTGTAACACCAAGTTGGATGTGTATTTGACAATATGTTAATGGTATGGATGTACCGTAGCTGCTGCGAGTGAGATGAGAGCGTACTGTGGACGTGTATATAGTCTATAGACGCTGACCCGTGAAGGTCCGGGTTAGAATGTACCTTCAATAACCCATGCTTGTCGTAAGAGGCGACTAACGGGATCGGGTGGTCAGGCTCGCTAGCTTGGTTGACACATGTCATCAGTTCCCAATTGCGCAGATCGATGCTCATGCTGTTGATCACTGGGTTGTCTGGTCCAGATTCGATTATTTACAGACCGCCGCCATATAGCTGGAATATTGCTGAGTGCGGCGTAAAACTAAACTCACTCACTCACTATAGACGCTACTTGGCAGTTTTCTGTCCGCAAAGGCAACAAGCACCTTAATACTCTGCATATCTGTGTCCTGTTATCACATTCATTACTTTTGTCATATGATCGGTAGACTATGTTGTATCATGTGATCAGGACATACCTTTCCAAATGATCACCGCTCCTAACCGTGTTACGTAATCATTAAACATACCTCAAGCATGTCATGTTTAAATGCGTATTGTCGAACACCCTTGTGTCATGTGGTCGTGTGATCGTATTATATGATCCTATGGAGATCCTAGGTGCCTATGAAATCTACCTGTGTCACGGGACTACATTTATGAGTTTGGTGACGATAGTGTAGTGTCAGTCCAAGAACGACGTTAGGTGACTAGTTTCATGAGTTTGGTGACGATGGTGTAGTGTCAGTCCAAGAACGACGTTAGGTGACTAGTTTCATGAGTTTGGTGACGATGGTGTAGTGTCAGTCCAAGAACGACGTTTCGTGTCTAGTTTCATGAGTTTTGTGACGATGGTGTAGTGTCAGTCCACGAACGACGTTACGTGACTAGTTTCATGAGTTTGGTGACGATGGTGTAGTGTCAGTCCACGAACGACGTTACGTGACTAGTTTCATGAGTTTTGTGACGATGGTGTAGTGTCAGTCCACGAACGACGTTACGTGACTAGTTTCATGAGTTTGGTGACGATGGTGTAGTGTCAGTCCACGAACGACGTCCTCGGCCGCCGATCCATCAACACCCGTGTGTTTAATACACAAATGATAAATCTAATCTCGTCAGCTTACAAGTATCTCTTAGAAATTTATGACAATAATATCTATACCACGCCGCTCATGCATGGCTCATTGCCCGCAAGCCATCTCAGAGACAGTAGATCTGGCTATCCTCCGTCACTGATCAAATATTTACTTTAATTGGAGAATTATTTATGTATGAGGCACTTAATGACATTTTTGATATTTCCAACCTCGATAAAACACCGCTAAATACCGACTGCTTGGACGAGGAGACGTTCGGGAGAAATAGGAGACCTCTTGACGATGCTACTGATGTTGTAGTGAGGAAAACATCCCCATCTGTCAGTGTGATGAGGGAATTATTAATCAGTTCTGATAAGATTTACATCTGAGGGGGACTCCGATACACCAAATGTCACAGCGGCTTTATTGCAAAATCGCTTGTCTTTATGAATACATATCATGATATGGGCTTGAGTATTGTTGATTGTGTGTAGAGTACTGGCATTCAAACATTCGTGGAGACATTAGACCTAGACGTACCAACAAATACGTTCATAGTGGTTGTCATGGTGATTTGCTACGTACGATGATACTTGGCAGTTAACGCAAATTTCTTTCTATTGATATATTCAGTTTGATATTTAATTATTATCAATAAAATATCATTCCTTTCTTATACTGTATTTGCGCTTCTGTGCAAGCAGGCAATGGTACACGTACGGTATAAATGATGCATCGAATCAACTTGGGAAATATAATCCACTGTTCGAATAAATGTTGAATGGTTTGTTATGTCATAAATAAAATTTATGGTAAGGTAAAATAAAGAGTTGTTTTATTTTCTCCAGATCAATCTGACTCTGAGGCTGAGAAGGAGCTGGTTCATTTTACTAAAGGTATGTTGTCTACCTCGTCAACTGTGACTGTGACTTTAGTACATATTAAGCAGGCTAGACCATAGCAGCGTATATAAACACCCAACTAGGGAATGGAACCAAAGCATTATTCCTGGTGTAAGAGCCTGCTAAACAGACACACAGTGTGTCTTATGTGTCTGAAATACATTATATTACTTAGGCTGGCTGTCAGTGTCGCCCATGTAATCTACCCACATACACAGCTTGATCACAAGTGTTATATTAATGTGGTCTGTAGCCATTAAAGTAAATAAAACATAGAATTTGTTTTTCAACATATGTTGCATGTTCAGTCATGGGTTAATGGATGACTAACCGTTTGTTGTAGAGGAACTGTATGAGCAGTGGAAGAAAGAATCAGACAACCGCAGGAGAGTAGAAAAGGAGGTGTCTGCCATGAGAGGTACGTCATATCTAGCAGCTGTTCCTCTGCCAGTTTAGGGAATATACAAACTGTAATTATAATAAAGCATACGACTTTATGATTTGTTATCCATCAAGTCGTAGGCTATATTATTGACGCACCAACTTCTAGAATGCCAATTAAACAATTACTAGGGATTTATAGCTGTAGACATTAAACGTGTCAGTGTAGGGAATGTAGTTGTAGAAATTACGTGAGGAAATGTAGGGAATATATATAGCTGTAGAAATTATTCGTGTAAGTACAGCAAATATCTTTGTAGAAATTATTCGTGTAAGTACAGCAAATATCTCTGTAGAAATTCCATGCGTCACTGTGGAGAAAAGAGGGTGTAGGGTGTCAGTTTTGGGAATATAGCTGTAGATATTATATGTGTCAGTATTGAGAATATAACTGTAGAATTACGTGTGTCAGTGTAGGGAATATAGCTGCATATATCACATGTGTCAGTATTGGAAAATAGCTGTACAATTACATGTGTCAGGGCAGAATATAGGGCTGTAAAATTACATCTTTTAATGTGGGTAATAAAGTTGTAGAAATTACAGGTGTCAGTGTAGGGAATATCGCTGTTAAATTATGTGTAACACAGTAGTGAATATCGCTGTAAAATTACATGTGTCTCTGTGGCGAATACAACAGTAATAAGTGCACATGCCAGTGAACTTAATTCAACAGTTACTGTATCTATTTCACTTGTCAGTGTAGAAAACGACTGCCTCTGTCTTGACTCGTGCACCTGTTACCTTCTGTAAACAGAGAAATACGGTAATTTCAATTCTACTCCTTAATATTCAATATCGTAGGGTCCATCGGCTCCTTCAGTAGACATACTTATAGGGATGCCTGTTGTTACCGTTATTGTAATATTGTTTCAGAGACTTACAGCGAACAGGTCAGTCGCGAGAAGTCGTACCGAGATGAGATGGCACACCAACTACAGGTTGTTAGAGGTGGGTTTGCAGTTTACCTATATCTATATAATGTACGTATGTACTGAAAGTTAGAGGTGGGTTTGCAGTTTACCTATATCTATATAATGTACGTATATACTGAAAGTAATGATGAGATGGCACACCAACTACAGGTTGCTAGAGGTGGGTTTGCAGTTTACCTATATCTATATAGTGTACGTATGTACTGAAAGTAACGATGAGATGGCACACCAACTACAGGTTGTTAGAGGTGGGTTTGCAGTTTACCTATATCTATATAGTGTACGTATATACTGAAAGTAATGATGAGATGGCACACCAACTACAGGTTGCTAGAGTTGGGTTTGCAGTTTACCTATATCTATATAGTGTACGTATGTACTGAAAGTAATGATGAGATGGCATACCAACTACAGGTTGTTTGAGGTGGGTTTGCAGTTTACCTATATCTATATAACATACGCATGTACTGAAAGTAATGATAAGATGGCACACCAACTACAGGTGGCTAGAGTTGGGTTTGCAGTTTACCTATATCTATATAGTGTACGTATGTACTGAAAGTAACGAATGGAAGTATTGACTTGTTTGTGTTTAGGAGGGTATAAATGTACAATCGGGTGTTTATACTGTGCCAATCACTAACGCGGATGTATGTGCACACAGGTTATTGACATTCAGGGTAAATTAATTAGGAACTGACTTAATGATATTTTTGTGTTTATAGGGTATAAATGTTCAGTCTGGTGGTCTTGCTATGCCAGTCAACGTAGCGGATTAATAATATGTGTGCACACATGTTTTACGTTTATAACGAGATAAACGCAAAATCATATTTAAGAGAATTCTTATTAACAAATAGCAATATTAGTAACTTCACAGACTGCGTATGAAATCATTTACATACAAAAGAGTGGAGAATAAAAAAAAAAGTGATGTTCTGTACAAAAGTGCAACACAATTTATTTTCAACCAATCAGGAAACAGAAAGATCTTAATAGTTTAGCGTCTTTTCGGTTAAGGAAGCATATACGCCTAAAAGTTTTGCGCAAAAATGACAAACAAAAGGAACAACCAAAAACAACAACATTGAAGTCTGTACCCTGAGAGTGATTTCCCGACTATGAGATAACACAAATAGACTGAAAACTTTAGATCATTGGAATAGCTTTGAAAAACCCTGACATGTCGAAATGCTGCTAAAATACACGTTTGTTATTGCAGATACTCTCACCACGGAGTTGGAACAGGAAAGGAAAGTTCGCTTTGCACTCCAACAAAAGCTGAAAGGTATCTATGTGTTTGTTGTACCATCTCGATCGTTCTGTCTCCGATGCTTCAAAACAATTTACAATGCATTCAACTCACTTGCAATTATTCATAATTCCAACGGAATCATAATTCCAACGGAATCATAATTCCAACGGAATCATAATTGCGGTGTGGAACGTCACCCACACCGCACTATGTGACGTGTCCAACGTGGACCTTCACTCACACCACACTGTGACCGTGATCAACGTGGAACGTCACTCACACCGCACTATGTGACGTGCCCAAGGTGGACCTTCACTCACACCGCACTATGTGACGTGCCCAAGGTGGACTTTCACTCACACCGCACTATGTAACGTGCCCAACGTGGAACGTCACTCACACCGCACTATGTGACGTGTCCAACGTGGAACGTCACTCACACCGCACTATGTGACGTGCCCAAGGTGGACTTTCACTCACACCGCACTATGTAACGTGTCCAACATGGAACGTCACTCACACCGCACTATGTGACGTGCCCAAGGTGGACTTTCACTCACACCGCACTATGTAACGTGTCCAACGTGGAACGTCACTCACACCGCACTATGTAACGTGTCCAACGTGGAACGTCACTCACACTGCACCATGTGACGTGTCCAACGTGGACTGCCGTCTTTATGTTTGACGTAGCTCCTGCAAAACTCTTTCACTCCGCTCGACGTAGTACATGACTCTGCACACGCTCTGAGCTACAAGGAACGCCATTCTACAGTCACCACGAAACATGGCATACCCAACGCAGCATACAATGCGCTTTACTCTTCCCGCTTTACTTTCCCGCTTTACACTTCACATTGCACATTCAACGCAGCACCATGTAGCAATGGGATATGAACAATGGCATGAAGTGATGACGCGTTGGATGCTTGTTCAGGCTATAGTTATACTTACCTCTGTGAACTATACACCAATAATAAGTGGAATTGTCTGTGTTTAAATGTTATCAATGATAATTTACCAAACCAATATGACTTTGGATCCCATTACAAATATAGATTGCGAATAATGTTGGTACAAAAACACAAGATCAGAGCACATGTAGTACCTGGACATGTGATTAAGGAAAATTGTTTGAAATAAATCAAACTTAATTTCCCTTCATGTTTATTATTCTTGAAACGAGAAATTTAAATCAGTCCGTATTCGGGATTTTTAACATATCCCAGACGCTATACAATACTATCGGGAGCATTCGAGGAGACAAGCGTTCTTGGAAATTATGGCGTATCATTGTCTCGAAAAATCTAGCTTGCCAGAGGATGGTCATTCGTAGATAATCTTGAAAATACAAAATAATAATTATTTTAATTACTTTTAAAGTAAAGGGACTTTCTGTTCTTACCCCAGGCTGAAAATGGCGCATAGAAAGTATGAATATTGGTTTCTAAACTTTGATGACCTGAAACCTGAGCTTTCCTTGCGATTTCATCCATAAGGTTTTTTCCAAAACAATATATTGTCACAAAACCTTTGAGATTAATTGAACTAGAAAGCAGCACTTGTCCCGCCGATTGCTTGTGGCGTTCTATCATGTTACGCTCTGTAGTGATACGACTTCATGTAATTATAGCCCCCGAAGCAAAGGTATCGTTGTTTCACAGGAAAATCCTTCATATGCTCACGATAACATCCATAAAATACAAATAAAATATTTGAAATAGCAACATTTGTTATGTTAACTAAAGCATTGTCCTTGTGGAGCATTGTATGCCCTGTCATACTGAACAATCAAGTACATGAGAAACAGACACGACATAAACAATCATTTTCAAAAATGATTTTCAAAATTATTAGAATTACCATTTCATTATCAAACTCTGTATATGTCTAGATATGACACAGACACAACCAGGTGTTACACAAATAAATCTTCCGGACACATACCAGACACATCTTCAAGGATCATTAGAAGGCATCAGACACATGTTTCAGAGACATATTCTGGACACTCTTCTGAACAATAAACTGGAGACACATCTTCCAGACACATGTTTCAGAGACATATTCTGGACACTCTTCTGAAGAATAAACTGGAGACACATCTTCCAGACACATGTTTCAGAGACATGTTTTGGACACTCTTCTGAGGAATAAACTGGAGACACATGTTCCAGACACATGTTTCAGAGACATGTTTTGGACACTTTCCTGAGCAATAAACTGGAGACACATACCTAGACACATGTTTCAGAGACATATTCTGGCCACTGTTCTGAGCAATAAACTGGAGACACATACCCAGACACATCTTCCAGACACATGCCTTTTCTAATTTCGATTCAGGTGGTTATTTAACATGTGCGTTCTTTATTGCAGAAGCGCACGATGCTCTCCATAGCTTCTCCTGCAAGATGCTGGCGTCTCGACAGTGCGACGAGTGTTCATACAAGGAGTCCCCTTTGCCCCGCTGACAACCTCCTGTTCTGGCGGGGACGACTAGGACATCACTTGCATCGTCCTCACAACGGCATTTCGCCTGTCTGGCTCAACGCCTGACCATCAGTATTTCCAATCAGCTGATGAGAACAAAACACATCCCCGTATCTTGTGTTAATCATTACCACGGACAACGGGACTTTCAGACAGTTTGTGTCAATTATTTAACCAAGTACAACCACAGAGTTCCCTTTCAGGCTCCCTAATAACGTGCATATACAGTTTCGTCTTTCTTGTAATAAATAATGGTAAATGCTCTAGCAGTATAGCCTACACCGATTACGTTATGTGACGGTAAATCGTATGAATATTAATGTTATTTGTACAAAGCCCCATGTATAAGTGCTATGCCGTCATCCGGTGTATATTATGTCATATTTATTGTAAATCTTAATATATTGATAATGTACATATAGCTGTTGTGAGCATGCCAGGTTGCTCTGATGTACAGGTGATAGAAGGAAGAACTATTGTAACAGACAATCTTTGTTGATGTAAAATGAATAGATTTAATAAATACTTGACTACATACCCTCGAAATCAAACATTGAAGTCTATATTTTGTTTTACATGATATTGTTTATACATTATATTTCCACATCCCATGTACATTCCATATCCTAGTATATCTATATCCCATGTATCATGTTAAAATGATACAAAGATGCGGGACTGTGCTGCTCGTTAGTTTCAATCAACTCCCGTAAAGCGACACCCGCGTAATCAAACACCCCTATCTCGGTAAATTAATATATCTATGGTAATACATATCTACCTAGGTACAAGTTGTCATGGAAACATGTACTCATGGTAACACTCATTAAATGCATTGCATGAAATGCGCCATATGTCAAAGGTAGCACATAGTCACCCGAATACAAGCACCAACCAAGATATAAAAACTACATTATAGGGAGGCATATTTATGGGGACACATACACACCCCGTTGCGAGTGTACTTGTATACACGTATACAGACCTGGTGGAAGAAGATATAGAGACACATGTTCATTCGGAACACATACATACCTGGTGCAGGTAATTATAGAGGCACATGTTCATGCTGGGACACATACATACATGGTGCAAGTAATTATAGAGACACATATTCATGCTGGGACACAAACATGCCTGGTGCAGGTAATTATAGAGACACATATTCATGCTAGGACACAAACATACCTGGTGCAGGTAATTATAGAGACACATATTCATGCTGGGACACATACATACCTGGTGCAGGTAATTATAGAGACACATATTCATGCTGGGACACAAACATACCTGGTGCAGGTAATTATAGAGAACACATATTCATGCTGCCAGGTTGCAGGTAATTATAGAAACACATATTCATGCTCGGACATACATACCCGTTGCAGGTAATTATAGAGACACATATTCATGCTGGGACACATACATACCTGGTGCAGGTAATTATAGAGACACATATTCATGCTGGGACACATACATACCTGGTGCAGGTAATTATAGAGACACATATTCATGCTGGGACACAAACATACCTGGTGCAGGTAATTATAGAGACACATATTCATGCTGGGACACAAACATACCTGGTGCAGGTACTTATAGAGACACATATTCATGCTGGGACACATACATGCCTGGTGCAGGTAATTATAGAGACACATATTCATGCTGGGACACAAACATACCTGGTGCAGGTAATTATAGAGACACATATTCATGCTGCAGGACACATACATACACATGGTGCAGGTAATTATAGAGACACATATTCATGCTGGGACACAAACATACCTGGTGCAGGTAATTATAGAGACACATATTCATGCTGGGACACATACATACCTGGTGCAGGTAATTATAGAGACACATATTCATGCTGGGACACATACATACCTGGTGCAGGTAATTATAGAGACACATATTCATGCTGGGACACATACATACCTGGTGCAGGTAATTATAGAGACACATATTCATGCTGGGACACATACATACCAGGTGCAGGTAATTATAGAGACACATATTCATGCTGGGACACATACATACCTGGTGCAGGTAATTATAGAGATGCTGGGACACATACATATTGCAGGTAATTATAGATGCTGGGACACATACATACCCGTTGCAGGTAATTATAGAGACACATATTCATGCTGGGACACAAACATACCTGGTGCAGGTAATTATAGAGATACATATTCATGCTGGAACACATACATACCTAGTGCAGGTAATTATAGAGACACACATTCATGCTGGGACACATACATACCTGGTGCAGGTAATTATAGAGACACATATTCATGCTGGAACACATACATACCAGGTGCAGGTAATTATAGAGACACATATTCATGCTGGGACACATACATACCTGGTGCAGGTAATTATAGAGACACATATTCATGCTGGGACACATACATACCTGGTGCAGGTAATTATAGAGACACATATTCATGCTGGGACACATACATACCTGGTGCAGGTAATTATAGAGACACATATTCATGCTGGGACACATACATACCTGGTGCAGGTAATTATAGAGACACATATTCATGCTGGGACACATACATACCTGGTGCAGGTAATTATAGAGACACATATTCATGCTGGGACACATACATACCTAGTGCAGGTAATTATAGAGACACATATTCATGCTGGGACACATACATACCTGGTGCAGGTAATTATAGAGACACATATTCATGCTGGGACACATACATACCTAGTGCAGGTAATTATAGAGACACATATTCATGCTGGGACACATACATACCTGGTGCAGGTAATTATAGAGACACATATTCATGCTGGGACACATACATACCTGGTGCAGGTAATTATAGAGACACATATTCATGCTGGGACACATACATACCTGGTGCAGGTAATTATAGAGACACATATTCATGCTGGGACACATACATACCTGGTGCAGGTAATTATAGAGACACATATTCATGCTGGGACACATACATACCTGGTGCAGGTAATTATAGAGACACATATTCATGCTGGGACACAAACATACCTGGTGCAGGTAATTATAGACACATATTCATGCTGGGACACATATTCATGTAATTATGAGACATATTCACATACACCCTGGTGCAGGTAATTATAGAGACACATGTTCATGCTGGGACACAAATATACCTGGTGCAGGTAATTATAGAGATACATATTCATGCTGGGGCACATACATACCTGGTGCAGGTAATTATAGAGACACATGTTCATGCTGGGACACAAACATACCTGGTGCAGGTAATTATAGAGAACACATGTTCATGCTGGAACACATACATACCTGGTGCAGGTAATTATAGAGAGAACATATGTTCATGCTGGGACACAAACATACCTGGTGCAGGTAATTATAGAGATACATGTTCATGCTGGGACACAAACATACCTGGTGCAGGTAATTATAGAGATACATATTCATGCTGAGACACAAACATACCTGGTGCAGGTAATTATAGAGAACCATGTTCATGCTGGGACACAAACATACCTGGTGCAGGTAATTATAGAGATACATATTCATGCTGGGACACAAACATACCTGGTGCAGGTAATTATAGAGAACCATGTTCATGCTGGGACACAAACATACCTGGTGCAGGTAATTATAGAGACACATATTCATGCTGGGACACAAACATACCTGGTGCAGGTAATTATAGAGACACATGTTCATGCTGGAACAGATGCATACCTGGTGCAGGTAATTATAGAGAACCATGTTCATGCTGGGACACAAACATACCTGGTGCAGGTAATTATAGAGATACATGTTCATGCTGGGACAGAAACATACCTGGTGCAGGTAATTATAGAGACACATATTCATGCTGAGACACAAACATACCTGGTGCAGGTAATTATAGAGAACCATGTTCATGCTGGGACACAAACATACCTGGTGCAGGTAATTATAGAGATACATATTCATGCTGAGACACAAACATACCTGGTGCAGGTAATTACAGAGAACCATGTTCATGCTGGGTTACATGCATACCAAGTGTAGGTACTGCAATCTTTATTTACAGTACTGAAGAGGCCGTAGGCCTATAGTACATTTAACATACAGTAGCAGAGGGTGCAATATAAATGAATATATAGTAAATAATATCACATCTGTAATGCAGAGGGTCTCATATTTATGGCATGGTATATATACATTGCAAGGTATTTTGTGGCTGTTTGATTTTGGGATGTCATGAGGGTATAAAATTTGTCTATTCGGGGGTTCAAGTAAAAATATTTCTTTATGTATTCTTTTCTGATATTTGCATACAATGGACAAACAAGCAAGAAATGATATTCATCTTCTAACTCTTGATAAGTACAATATTTACACAATCGTTTTTCCCGCTGTATCCCTAAATGCCTACCTTTTTCTATTAGAAGATCATGGTAACTACATCTGAAACGGGCTGGTGCTGTTCTGAATTTCTTAACGTTAATGTCTAGAAGATATTTTTCTGTGAGAATGAATGATTTAAAACACGAGTAATGGTTTAACTTATTGTGTAAACATAGTGAAAAGTGCCACCTTTGAAAATACATATCTTTTAGACTTTGTGTTAAATCATCTAAAAATGCTCTGGTGCTGTTACATTTTGTTCTCTCCAGATGTAATCATAGCCGCAAGACTGAAGTATCTTTCTGACACCAGAGGTCCAGTTATTTTTACCTCTGTCATCGTAAAGCATCATCATGTTATAACATTTTGGGGGGAATCTGGTGCTTGGCATTTTAAGCAATCTTATCTAATATTTTATTACTTTTATGTAACTAAATATATACATAGGGAATCCCCCACATTCCCCATAAACTGTAACATTTGGGGTGTTGGAGTTTTCTCCTAAAAATCTTTTGCACGCATATAGATGTACCTTCTCTAATGTGTCATAGATTTCTTGGCCCCATACTTCTGCACCATAGAGTAGAATAGGACTAATCTTAGTGTCAAAGATTTTGAAAAAGGTGTCAAAGCTAATATTTGGAAGCGGTCTTATGGTTCTTAAAATGCCTATTAAAACTTAGGTACTTATAGAGACACATATTCATGCTGGGGCACATGCATACCTGGTTCAGGTACTTATAGAGACACATATTCATGCTGGGGCACATGCATACCTGGTTCAGGTACTTATAGAGACACATGTTCATGCTGGGGCACATACATACCTGGGTTCAGGTACTTATAGAGACAACCAAAGCGCGACAATGCGACAACGCGACATTTCGGCCATTTGTAGCGTTGTCGCATTGTCGCGTTGTGGACCTTTGGACGAATAGAAAAATGTATGCATGAATCATACTGAATGAAATTGGGCCTTAATAACACTAGTAAATGTACTGTCTATGCTCACACCGACACTGTCTATGCATGCGCTTCTTAATCGTACACGTCCAATAGTCTCAGTCTCTTTCTCTCTTTCTCTCTCTCTCTCTCTCTCTCTCTCTCTCTCTCTCTCTCTCTCTCTCTCTCTCTCTCTCTCTCTCTCTCTCTCTCTCTC